GTATTCCTCAATTTTTTTAAGTACTTATTTTTCCATGTTGCTTAGCTCTTAAAACCTCTGTCAACTAAGTAAAAAGTTCTTCACTGTTTAAAGTCCTCCAGAGGAACCTCTTCTGGTTCAAAGAATTCTCTTCTAATCATTCTGTTGGACGGATGAGGAAGTAGGCTTTTCCCCAGGTGAACTTCCAAGAACTTCCTACCTTTCAAAAGGGATGTGTCCCCGCATCAGAAACCTGAGAGTGCAGGCTCAGGTATGAATTTGCACGTCAGCTTTGTACAGGAGCATCTAATCACCTCTGCATCCCCCTGTTAGCGTATGTGCTGCCATACGGACACCAGGTAAGCGCGTGCTGTTCCCCAGCCGCGGTTCAGTAATGCCCTGCACCAACTACTGAGGTAATTTCACTCAACAGATGATGTTAAAAAGGACAAAAGAAAAGAAAGTCTTTGGCCCACAGTTGAGCCTCTGAGCAGTGACAAAGGGGCTTTTCCCTGTTTCCTTGTCACTCCCTAATCCCACTCTGCAATTACAACAATGGAAATAATCAGTTCACAATCAAAGGGGTTTTAATTTCCAATGAAAAAGACACCTGAGACAGTAAGGCTAGTTTCTACCAGTCTAAAAAGAAAAAAAGGTTCTTAAAGCCAGAAGGTCAAATTTTGCTCTCAGACGTGAATTAATTCATTGGATCAGATTTAGTCCTTGAATTTGCTGCTGAAACTTCAACAATGTCAAAGAAAACTTTTGCTAGGGCTGGATTTTCACCCTACCAAGTGCAACCTGCCCATCTGAGAGTTGCACCTGGTTCAAAAGAAAGGCCAGGGACTATACCAGTTGTCAATCCAATTTAATCCCTATGAGTAACTTAAAACTGTACTGTAGTTAATAATGGCAGGACTGCTCCAAAGCCCATCAAAATCAATCGGAGTTTTTCCTCCGGCATGTCGCTGTGCTTGGGATCAGTCTCATTCTATGGAACACAGTCATTGTTGGGCCAGATACTGTTAACTGTGTAACGTTTTTACGCTGATATGCATAACAATTTCTTTTCTACTAACACGTCTTCTTTTTGATAACTCCAATTACATATTCAGTGATCTGAGCTCTGTTCTAAACTGGATTTACAGTCATGTGCAAACCAGCGCTCATGTGCTTTAAGAAGAGGTGCGTAAACTATTGCAATAAAACATGATGAAGTAACCAAGGTATCAGTAAGGGAATGGCTTGATTTTAAGTGAGTGATTATCTTATCACCACTGACCTCATCATAAAATATTTTCAAGCTGAGAAAAATATCTCTACGCTTAAGTTGTTTTTTATTTGAAGTGCTTTAGCAGCTGTGTCCACACTTTGCTAAAGTGCCATCCCAGCAGCGACTGGGATCACAGTTTGCTTCCAGATCTGCATGTCCTCTATCCACATGGGGAGCTTCTAGCCAGCTGTACGACAGGATTGTGTTAACTGCCTAACGGAGGGAACGGCGATATGCTAAGCTCAGTGCACTCTGGTGCACAGGGTTCTTGTGTGCCAGACTCATTCCAAGAGTTTTCTGCCCTCAAAATTCAGTCACGCCCAGCAGACCTACATCCATCCACCCTTAATTAGGTAATGTGATTGATGCTGATGTGAAATTGAGGGCAAGATTGTATGATTAAGTGTCTTTTGAAAGGCATTGAGCAAGTTCATCTACTGACTTAAACGCAAGCTGAAGGCACACAATTCCTTCATTGTTTTTCACTGGGCTTTTTATCTAGCCCCACGTTGCAGAATGGCACACTCAAGAAATGAAAAAACAGAACTTTTGTTACCACTCTGATTACACTAGAGGAGGTGCAGAAGTGATTTCCTGGATCTGGGTCTTTTAAAATATTGCTGTATACACAGAAGCTACGTTAATGCTTCTGAAAGACTCTCTATCATACATTCACATCTTACTAGCTTAGGGTTTTGATACTAACGCTACAGACCTATAGCTCTAGCTTGGCTCTGTTCTCTGTGTAGCATTAGTTCAAGCAGCTGTAAGGAAGGTGAATCCACTGAAAAAAGTGGAATTAGAAAGCCATGACATTACTACTAGTAACTTGTCTAGATATTAGTCTAATGACTACATGCCTTACAGTGGCTTAGTGCTTGGTGTTAAGTGATATTGCTTTCTTTTTAGCAGGGTAGGAGTTCTTTACACATTTATAGCAAGAAAACATTAATTTCTGGAGGTGCTTGTTCTCATTTTCATGTAATGATTTTCATGTAATGTTAATACATTTTTGGAAGAAATCTATTCCCCAAATTGCCATCCTTTGTTTTCAGTTGTACTCGCGCTTTGTAAAACCTGTTGGTGAAGCAAGGCTCTAACCACTCTCCCCTGTCTGAAGTTGTACACCCTAAGTCAGGCCAAATATGAATTACAAATGCAACTGACAGCTGTAACTTAAGGCTTTACATTGTTTCTATTTAAATCAATAGGATTTTAGCCACGAAATTACGTGAAGACAAGCTACAATTCCCAAAGTCTGTTTTTTAAAAGTGCAGTCTTCTCATTTTAAGGTGCTGTGCACTCTCATCTCCAAGTCATTTTGTAAAGAGCAGCCAGCATCTCTGGAGATCAAATACTATGGATCAATATGCCACGCACCTCTATAAGGCAATAATTGCCTCAGTGTTCACCAAGAGATGAGGATGTTTAGCACCTCTGAAAAAAGACCTTTTAAATGTGTGACTACAAAAAGGCTTAAAGATAATTCAGTGCTTCTGAAAGTCCCACTAAGCCCTTGATACCTACCTAAATCTGACCTTTATGCTTCCATTTTAAGCACTGAGGTTTGAAAGTTTCAGACTATGAAAATGGTTTAGTTTGCAACAGTGATAAATTTTGAGATCTAATTTAACTCATACTTACAACATTGCTTGAATTCATGGAAGGTGCCCAAAAATATAAAGTAGTATAATGAGAAATCACATTTTGATTCATCTTCAGGGTGTTATAATGTCAGCTGTACCAGCCTCTGTTGGCTCACTAGAAAAGGAGTGAGGATTTGCATTTTAAAAAGCAGGTTTTAAGAAAGGGCCCATCCACCTACACTGGGTTTCAGATAAATAAAAACACATTTCCACTATGAAGTCACACTGTGCCTGTTAAAAAGATGCAGACGTTAAGAAAAAAATGACCATTTAGCAAACACACTTAAGCATTAACATTGTTGTAGATATGTTTATGGTTATTGCTCTGAATTTGGTTGGAATTTAACAGGTTTTTAATGGCATCATTTTGGAAATGGTTCTGCTTGAAGGAATGGCTTTGTGTGTACGTTTCTCTCTAGAGCTCTCAGCTCACGTACAAAAATTAACAAACAGCATATGAACAGTATCACCAGAATAGTGATCATTCCCTGGCTGGAAGGATGTCGTACCATCCTTACACTTAGTTCTTCCATACAAAGCTTGAGTAAACACATGACATTTTTACGTTCCCCTGCTTGGATTCATGCGCTGATAGACCTATACGAAAAGGAGAACTGAAGTTCTGCCTCAAGCCCCTACGTATGCAATCTAGAAGAAGGCGTCCTGCTCATCTCAGCAATTGCAAGAGCAGTGGATTCCAGGTGGCCATGACCTAGACTGCACAGGTTTTCACGACCAAAACCCAACGTAAGAACTGCACTGCAGGCACTACAAACCTTCAGTATGTCACACAGAGCATGTCTCAGGCTGCTGTACTCCCGATCAGCTCAATTGTCAGAGCTGCCCTCAAACACTAGCTCACCAATGCCTCACATATCAACAACCCACGCAGGCGTGGATAACTTCCGAGGCCTGGCAGAGGGCAGGAACAGTTCCAGTTTTCTGGCTAAATGCATAGGCCAACACAGCCAGGTTTTGCGATTAGCCTAATTTTTCAAAACACTACAGCCACTTGGAATCACTCTGTATCGAAATAAAACTATCACTGATCTCAAAGAAAGGGTTACGTCCTTCTGTTGTAGACAGAGAAAGACTGGAACATCTGAAAAGGCCAACATCAAGTCAGTAATAAAATCCAAAGTTCGATATCATGTGGCATTTAGGTTTCATTTAAGCTTTTTGAGGTCTTTTCTGGGGCAGGTAGGAACGTTCCTTCCACATACAAACAATTAGTCTACTGTTAGGGCTTAGTTTTGAATCTAATATCCATACAGTTCATTATCATTTAATATATATGTTACAGTAGCACCTTGATTATTGTACAACTTTAAACACAAGATATAGTCCCTACTTCATATTATTTGTAAGGAAATGGTGAACATGGTTTAGATCCTAAAAATAAAAAAGAGAAAAAATGGTTATCTGCTCATGAATGACAAATTCCTCAGTGCATTCATTCTAATCCGAAACCCTTTGTCTTTTTAAAGCGTACCATGTAATTCCCAAATTCAGAGCCATTACCTCCCCCTTCCTATCCTCCTAGTATCATGTTGCAAAATAAACAGTACTGAATTAATTGGAACCTGATAGATTTTCTTCAAATGGTAATGCAGTATCTTTTTTCTTTAGGTGTGATAAAACCCTCTAAAAGATGCATCTCAGCATCAACAAAATTATGGCATACACTGCCTACATTAAATAGAGGTAAGTTGAGTCCAGAGTAATTTGCTTCTTCAGTTCAACTTTAGATGCGGTGCGGGGGGGGGTGTCTTTAAGCAATACTGTCTACACTCTGTGCCCTCCTCAGATCTGCCAAGATTCACAGTAAGAAAAGCAACAACAGTGGTGGGAAGAATAACTAAGCAATAGTCATACTTCAGATTGTTCTCTGTAAAAATTCATGGGGTTTGTACGACTGTCCCATGCTGATGTGGTCTATATGTGACATACATGTATACATATGAGTGAGCGATGTCAGTTTTCATCTGCTGGAAGCTTATACCTGTAGCAGTCAGTGCTTTGTTCAACAAGGCTGGGGGACTGCTAATGTAAGATTAAGTTCTTTCTTCGTTCAGCAATTAACCAGATTGCTGCTGTGTCTGTGTTTGATTTAATTTTACAATCCTCAGAGGGTTTAAAGAGCTGCTGTCTGAAGCACCTGCTTCTGAAATATTCACGTGCATTTTTTTGCTTTCCATTTTTTATGCTTTTCCATTCTCTTCTGCAGTACCATGGTTCTCCATGCTCCTGATTTTCTTATGTTTTCCTTCAGAGGCAAAAGTTACATTGATCCTGATGCAGTTTGGGCACAGCCACAAATAGTCTGTTTGTCCTTCCTCTCTCCGTCTCATAGTTAGAAAAGCATCATTGTGCACACAGTTCTGTTGATTTCAGTGGATGAATCCAGTTCATCCATCACGTTAGGCAGTCAAAAAACCCAACAAAAAACTCAAACAAAAGAAATTGTCTAAATCCCAAACAGGCATCTTTGGAATCAGTAGTGCAAAATGTTTGCGGATTTCTTTTCCTTGACCTACTGCAATAATGTCTTAATCTTCAAGTCTTTCCTAAAATAGTGGATCTGTAAATTTAAAGCATAAGAATAATGAAAAAAAAGCAAACATGAAGGTGGGTGGTTGTTTTTTTTAAAATCATCACTTACACCAAACCATTACACATCTCTTCTAAGAGCTGTAAACTGTAGGAAGATCCAGTTAACCTAGGACATTTTCATCTACACCAGGCCTCTTGCACGGGTACAGCACTGTATAAATGCACAAGTGGAAGGTATTCTTTAAATGGTGGATAATTTGAGATTACGATTAGCTTTTATCAGTGCAGCCTCAGCTCTGGAGATTAGTCCTAAACGGAAGAGACCTCCATCAGAGGTCACATTTTAAATGCCAGCACTTTACAAGCTTTGACTATCAGTGCAGCATTTTGGAGGTACTTTAGAAATGAGCTGATAAAATGAGTGGTTACCTTAAGGATTTCCACCTGTCTTTTTCTGTCTGGTTTTCCGGACTTTCACTTTCATAGGAAGCCAGATACAAACCTGGAAAAGGTAAATATGTGTTATTCCGACAGCAACAGTAACCCCCTAACTCTCTGCATTCTTCTATGTCCTATACTGTACCACACAGCAAGAGAAACTTTAAAACTTCACGGTCCATCAGGTAGCTGGCAATCAGTAGGACACTGATGTTTAGCTCACATGTCTACCTTTGGAGAGCTGTTAGGTTAATTTTGATGGAACAGTAAAGGAGCCCAGAGTTAATGCATGTTAGCGTGACCTTCTTATAACAATATTAAACAGTTAAATGGTCTCTGGTTTTGCATATAGAGATCTGGGCTTATTTACTCCAACACAGCACCGCTACCAAAGTGTTATATGACCATTAAAAAAAGAGAGACAGCGAGAGCTGACAGCTAAACAAATAAAACTTTTTATAATTGAGGATATTTCCACCACTTAACACAACTTTCTCTTCCTCCTTTTTAAAGCTTATGGGGACGTGCTATCTTAAATGAATACAAAACACCCTCAAAGTAAGAACGAGTTACAGAAACCAGAGAAGGAACACAGTAGAAAAAGAAGAAGGGGTTTTTTTTTGCATTGTAGGATGCATTTTATGATACCAAAATGTGTTTAGGCTGTAGAGTCTCCTCTGCAAAAGCTGGCGATGCATTAATATCTCACTACAGATTTTTTTTAAAGTAGGCTGTGATTTGCATTCACACACATTTCCTCATTTGACTGTTTAGCGATGCTTTATTCTTTAATGCTCGAACCATCTCAGTATTCAAGTCTGCACTACAATTCAACTGCATTTTAATATTCAAGAGTTGGCCCACTATTCGTCCACACTGTGACAAGCACAGTACAGCTGCATTTCACATACCACCGCTGCCTCTCTCTAATATATTCTCCCACCCTTTACTCAGGGCAGATCTTCCTGCTCTGCACTTCCCCTGGGTAACAGGGGAGGCCTGCTGTGGCTTCTGCAAAGGGCATCTCATGAAAGCAGTATGGATATAGGGGAGGGCATGAGAGAGAAAATCTGCAAACAATTAGTGGGTTGAGGTCACCCTTTCTTTGGTCCAGCAGCCTGAAAACTGTACTTTTAAACACCACTTCTGAGATACCCCTGATTTTCACTTTCTGTCCCTTTAGAGCCTAAAAACAGAACAAATGCCTCCATCCTATCTCCTTTCGATATGTAATACTTCAATCACTTTAATTATTCTATTTTGGCAGTCATTCTTCTTAGGATTTAGGCAGGATTTTTGAAGCAGTATTTTGTTTTCTGAAGTAGTCTGTGAAATAAAAACTGTCTGGTCTGCTTAACTTGGATTAGTACAGAAAACTGCCTATAGAATCAAGAAAAAATAAACCCAACACCAGTATAGCTTATGGGAATACAGCTATAGACAATTCCATGTGTGACAACGTACCAAGAGGCAACTGACATGAACCAATATGAAATGACAGAGTCTGACATGCTGGATACCAAATTGAAGAGACACGTAAGTATAAAAAGACAATCAGAGAAATAATTTCAGGACAGGGCTCTCATAGCTACAGCTTAAATTAATTACTAGAAAAGATTTTTCTTAAAAATTCTTTTCTGTAGGTAACATATTTCTTTGCTGTAGTGGAGGAGGTCAGCTGGACTACCATCGCCCTGGGCTGTGGTCACTGAAGAGACGACAGTGTTGGTTTGCGGAAGAGATTAGTTCTGGCTCCATCAATCACAGAATGAGTGGCTAAGGGACAGCTGACACTCATAGCAGTCCACGACATGGTTGTGTGGCCTCTTTTCTTGGTTACAAAAGTAGGGCCACAATGGCAACTTCCTAGACAGTGCCTTACAGAGAAGCTATGGACAAAAGAAAAGCAATCAGGCAGCACCTTCATGAGCTAGAAGGTTATATTTGCAAAAACGGGTTGATAGACTGGGGATAAACAAGCTGCATGACAGGAAAGCTAGGAAAGAACCGGGACTGGTCAGCGAGAGAGATCACCAAAGCATGGATCAGGGTGTTAATTAGTAGTGATGAAGAGACATATTTTCAGTGATTAGAGATTGTACAGAGTCTTACCATCTTCAGTAAAAATGGGAGCAGTATGCAAGTAGTGGATGATGTTAGGGTCTTGTTCAAAGGGACATTCCACTTGCTTCCATGTTATAAATTCTCCTACTTGCTTAGCCAGTTCCAGAAATTTCTGTAAACGTAAAACCATTCCACTCAGATACAGTAAGATTATCTCACTAAAACAACCACATCCAAGCAGAAGACTAAGATCCAGGATCCGTCATGCCAACCACAAGGATATTAGGAGAAAAGAGCCTTGTATGTTTTAGATGGGTACATTTTCACAGTTCATTTACAGGGGAAAGAGAGAGGAAAGGGTGCGCTACGTTCCTTCTTACAAGCCGACTCAGTTAGTGCTTAAATGAAAATGTATCCATGAAAAAAGTTATGGGTTACACATATGTACTTAAGACTAGAGGACATAAACTTTGATGGAACAGGAGGGAGCAGAATTAGATATAAATTACATAAAGTAGATAGAGTGACTCCAACGCCTCACAACTCTTCAGGTCTTGTAACAGTTCTGATATAATTTAAGGCAATGCCAGGCTCAGTATTTCATGCATTACTATCTCACAATGCCACTAACTGAAGAAGAAATTTAATGCAACCAAAGAGATGCTCAAGAAATGATTTACAAAGAATTTGAGAGCTCAAGAACTATTTTCTCCTCGACACCGGGCAGTTCTTTCAGAAGCACCCCACCTCTGCCCCACTTGCTTAGCCAGTTCCAGAAATTTCTGTAAACGTAAAACCATTCCACTCAGATACAGTAAGATTACCTCACTAAAACAACCACATCCAAGCAGAAGACTAAGATCCAGGATCCGTCATGCCAACCACAAGGATATTAGGAGAAAAGAGCCTTGTATGTTTTAGATGGGTACATTTTCACAGTTCATTTACAGGGGAAAGAGAGAGGAAAGGGTGCGCTACGTTCCTTCTTACAAGCCGACTCAGTTAGTGCTTAAATGAAAATGTATCCATGAAAAAAGTTATGGGTTACACATATGTACTTAAGACTAGAGGACATAAACTTTGATGGAACAGGAGGGAGCAGAATTAGATATAAATTACATAAAGTAGATAGAGTGACTCCAACGCCTCACAACTCTTCAGGTCTTGTAACAGTTCTGATATAATTTAAGGCAATGCCAGGCTCAGTATTTCATGCATTACTCACTATCTCACAATGCCACTAACTGAAGAAGAAATTTAATGCAACCAAAGAGATGCTCAAGAAATGATTTACAAAGAATTTGAGAGCTCAAGAACTATTTTCTCCTCGACACCGGGCAGTTCTTTCAGAAGCACCCCACCTCTGCCCCTCCACCGGCGTACGAGAACACAGCCACCGCAATGCGCAGCACAATGCGGAACACCGGAGTGCCTGCACACTGCACTAGCAACAAGTTGTACTAGTGTAAAACCATCCGCTCCAGCACAGAACTGGGATTACTCAGGATACGTGACTAATACCACCTAGTGCCAGGGCTGTGAGGGAATAGAACTCCTTCTACTGCATTTAGTAGAAATTCTTCTGTGTAAAACCTTCAGGCAGGAGATAAAACATTTGAATCCGTACATCAGCGGCATGACATTTACCTCGTGAACACAGTGACTGTGTACTCCATATGTCATTCTGCTTGTGTTCTAATTTTTCTCTAATAACCACAAGTAATTTATTATTATAATTATTGGGCAAAACTTTGCCAAACCTCTTTATTAAAAGTGAGAAAGGGCTAAAAAGGCAGATAAATTACAGTATAAACCATTTTATACTGACTTGTTTCTCTGTGTGTGTGTATAGGAAAAATAGTTTTCCATGTTTTCTGAAAAAGTCATCTTCCCCTCCAAGCCATAAGTATAATCGTTTACACTATTGACACTGTATTTCTAGCAGCCAACCAACATCAAGCAAGTTAGGACGATCTGCTTGTAAAGTTTATATAAAATATACGTATTAATTCTTTTAAGAAACATTCTGGGATTGGTTTAACCTTCACACAGTCACTTGAGACCATCCCTTTTGGCATATTCAGTCTTTGTTGAAGGCAAACGATCTCAGATAGTGCTATCAGAATGGGATAGATAAAAACATTTTTCAGATCTTACTTCAAAGTTGACGTGTCCATTTGGAAGGCGATTAGCACATCCTTCATTCAAAAAATAAATGTCTTTGATCAATAGGCTGAAGAAGGGGATCACAATCTGTGAAGAGAAATGACATAACTATTATCTTTCCAGTTCAGTATTTTCTCTGCATGAAAGAACAACTCAATAAGGAGAGAGGAGAAAAAAGAAATACTGACTTTTCAGTGTGCTGTGCACTTAAAAAGCAGTACAGTAACAGGCAAGCATAAGGGCAGTAGGGTATAAAGACACCTTCAGCCATCAGGAGGATGTATGCTGAAATGAATACAAACTGAACACAACGTTCACTGAGCAGAATAACATGACTAAGAAAATGCTAATAACCCAGTTTATCATCAACAGCATCACTGATGACATGATCAGACAGCAAAGAGCAAAATAAAATTGCAGAACTCTTCCTTTCTCTGTTGGGTCTTTATAAACAAAGATGTTGAAGACACAAATGGAGCAATTTAAAGACAGCTGGGAACCAAGGAACCAGTATTGTCTCTGGACAAGGAAAGACAGAATAAAATTTGATGACCAAGGACTTGTCTACAAACAGTTAATCAGGAGCTGTTTCATTTTCAACAGCTCCATGCATGGCTACCTCTTGAGGCATGTAATCTCCTTCCTGGTACCTGATCAGTACAACCTGCTTCTCCAAATTAACCTGCAGCCAGTAGGATTGAAAACATTATGTTAGTTGACAGGAAACTGCCAACGGTAGCCAGAGAGATCACTGTAGCACTCAAAATAAGCCCCGGGAATCATCCAGGGCAAAGTGGCATATAGCAGTGATCCAAGCCTTCTCTCTAAGCCATCAGAGTCAGGTCATAATTTGCTATAGAAAAAGTCTACTTCTAGGTAAGACTCTTGAAATTAATGGTATTACAGCAGGGATAAATTTGATGCTAGATGTTCTAAGCAACGTAAGAAGCAGCAACAGCGCTCCTGAAGCGCATCTCCAGCACTCCAGCACTCCAGATCTCCAGCATCTCCAGACCCAGAGTGCAGCAGACTCTCTCTGGGTCTTCTTGTGTCACAACTCAAAGGGAAAAGAAAGATAACACAAAGGACCAGTCCATGACAAAGCTGACCCCCAGGGCTCTGGGATTTGATAGTCAAATCTGAGTCTACCCACCTCTCCAGCACTGGCACTGTGACAGAAAAAGGCCACTCGGAGGGTTTGAGCTATAGGGTCAGCAGTCACCTCTGTGAGCATTTTCCTGCGGCAGCAACACCTGTCTTTTAAGCCACTAAGTACAAACTTAATCACCATGAACTTAAAGGAAAGCACATCGCATGGTAGAGTGTCCAAATGTTTCCACTGTTCTATTTGTAAATTAACTGAACTGTAGCTTGTTAAGCGTGCACCAAAGTTAAAGTGCCTTCATGGCATGCAAGACCACCCAAGGGAGCAATCCTTTGGTTAAGTATTTAATGTCGTACTGTTACTCCATCTCACGCTGTACATCAGCTGTAATGGGATATGAAGTGGACCTAGAACAGGATTGGCAGCTGTTATTTTCCAGTCTACAGCCCTCACGATGGAACAATGAGTGGCGAGCAAGCCATAGGCATGAAAACACTTACTGAGGCAAGGAGTCTACAAGCCACCACCAACTCTTGCAGTGAAAATGGAAGCTAATTTCTGTTTCAGCTAAAATACCACATGCAGTAAACTGCTAAAGATCTGCATCTCTGCTGGCTTTTTTATGGGACAGCCGTAGATGAACTCTGTAATGTCAGTGCAGTAGCCGTAAAAAAGCCTGGACTGACACTCCAAGAGCCACTGGCATTATCCTGATACATCCCACTGATACAATATAGGAATGGAAACAAAGCGCAGCCTAAGCCCCCCAAAATCCTGAGCCCTGCTATCAGGGTGAGGTGGAGCAATTTCTAGTCAAACTGAGCTAAGTGTGCTTCAGGATTCATTTTTATATCATCCAAACTAAATCGATCAACCTGAGGTAAAGAATACAATTCAGTCCACGTGGTTTGTTTTCTACCAAAAATGATGGCAACTCTCTAACCAGTGCGGTCTTCTAAGGTGGAAAGATACAGACAGCTGGAGGCAGACACTGATCCCCAGCTAGAAATTACTGCCAGGTTCTGTCTACATATTTTTTTGCAGGCAGATGCGAGCTTGTTCTGCCCTGCTCCACACTGCCTGGGAGCTAGGTCACCACCATTAGTGGTACTAAACGTAAACAAAAAGCCTTGCTGAGAGGGAAGGTATATGAATGTGGGCTCAATGCCACGCTAATACAGCTACAAAGCCACCAGTCAGCTCAGAGCGTGGGTAGAGCTTGTTCTCATCTGCATCCAAAAGGCGTCAAAGACATACTCTAGGATACCAATTCTCTACACATTTCCAGGGGATTTCTGTCTTTGGGTCACCATTTATTTCCCCAATAAAAATGTTACCCTGTATGTTTTGTTTTCCAAATTTCTGTAGGAAAAGCAACGAAAGTGGATACAGCTACACTCTAATGTTGGCTTCGATCCAGGCCCTTTGCTAGCATAAAATCTGGGTTAGTGCCAGAAACTCGTATTTCACTCCCTTTTGATTCCTACCCCTGTGCCATCCAACCCACCCACATGCTGAAGAACAACTGCCTCCTGCAGAAAGAAGAAAGCTAATGAGATCAGACATCGCGTTCCTCCATAGTATCAGACGGCGACAACACACAGCACCGCACTGTACATACTCCCAACATTTCAAAGCCAGAGAAATGTCGTTAGCACAATGCAGGGCTTCCCAGTGGAATGACTTAATTTTGGAGATGACATAGGTCAGCTGACTGCATAGATAAAGCCAGACTTAGTTCCTAACAAGTATACCCCTCTGAATTCCGCATGAAACATCAGCCATTCTTCATTACCAGTTCTCTCACCCTGCACTTTGGCAGGTTTATTTCTGCCGCTGTATTGCACCTCTCAACTTTGAGAGCTGCCTTGCCGTGCCTTTTTACAAGCCTGCTCCTGAACAAGTAACGAGTAGTTTGTAACTATGCTGTTTACACACAGGGAGAAGGGCTGGATTAGAACAGTGAGGACTGAGGTCAGGGGATCCTCCACGGCTATACTGAGATCCTTCTCCTACAACCTGTGCTGCAGTCTCGCACGAGCACCCTGAGGATGAGGATGGAGCGGGTGACGGAATCGGTCAGCGCTCTTTGTGCCAGAAGACCAGTGTCACACGGGGGATTTGGGCGAGATGTGTGCACATAGTAGGAGGAGGGAGGGTGCCCCAGGTTACTGCTCACCCTGCCTCCCTCTGAGGATATCATTCAGCCCCCGAGCTGTGCTTCTGTTCAAGTGCTGTTCAAAACTCAGCAGCCGAGACACCAGCCCTGAGGAGAGAATAAAGTAACGTTTCTGGTGAGGCTGCCAGTTAAATATTAGCTCCTCTGAGCCTACAGGCAGCTTTTCTTCCTGCGAGACATATCCCACTGCTTAGCCTGTTGGTCTGCGACAAGAGCGCTCCCTCCAGAGCACCTTCCTTCTCAAGCAGATGGACTGAGGCCTGAGGCCTCCATCTCTGCTTCTGGGGTGGCCACTTGTCGAGAAGAGGGGTGGAGGGGATTGGGATCTCAAACTCTTGTAAGCACAATTCAATTTGAAGGTAAAAATTTTCTTCAGAGTGAGCTCCGCCACAAGTTTGCCAAGAAACAACATTTTCTGTCAAAGAAGTGATCATGTTCTTTCAATTTTATTCAAACTCATTAAAATAAATAACTGATAATCTTGCTTATAAAAAAGAAAAAAAAATCCTTAATTCCTACAGCAAGAATTACATGATCTGCTGTATCTGACACTGTAAAATACCTAGTGTGAGTAGCTACCAAATCATATGCTTGAGCATTTTCTTGAACTAATGTTATCCATACAAGGGAAACAGAATATGAGCTTTTTCTTATGTAAAATAGATTCCTTTCAATCTAATAACCTCTCTGCCCTCAGTCTTAACCAGCTAGGGGTAGAGATATGACAGAGATTGCTAACTTCCACAGGAAATTAAGTCAAACAATAAAGCAACTGGTTTGAATATATATGATGGTTGCAGAAGAACTAAACTGCAGAAGCATCTCAGACTGACAGGTCCTTGCTGCGGTGTGTAGAGTTAAAAGAATTTCTCTGCCCCAGTCACAAACATCCAAAGCCATCGTCTCTTCTATGCACAGAGAAGTGCTTTTCAGAACAACTCAGCGCACTCCCATTGCAGCTGAGTCAGCCTGCAGCCAGATGCTGATCTCATTTCACTGTAAATGCTGTGAGATTCCATTAGCTTCAGCAGATTTACATCAAATTTACAGTGATGTGAGATTAGCATCTGGCCTGACTCCTCTAGTGAATGAATACTAAATTCCATATTACGCTTGTTCACGCAGTATCTACTTTACCTTAGCCGTGCCCTGCACAGAGATTACCCATTTATGACTATAAGCAATTGCCATGTTAAAAACAAACTCTCTTTCATAAAACAAAACAAAACAAAGAGAATTGAATGGAGAAATAAGCAAATTAACAAGAAACACACTGGGGAACAAAACAGGAGGATCCTGCACTAACCTCTCCTCAATCTGATTTTTGCAGCATCAGTGACATCTCAGAAAGCTACGTATCAGCCACGAACACTGGTAAAACACTTCGATTCTTGCTCACCGAGATGGCAGCAACAACTAAATGAAATGAAAATTCACGAGGACAGAATTTCACCCCAAATTTGCTGCAATGGATTCAGACCAGACTTCTTTGCAGGACTTGTGGTAAGTCATCTTTCCCTCATGTTTCCCTAATGTAAACGGAGAGCCACCTCATCTCTGAGTGCTGTGCCCTTTGCCCTCTATCTCAATCACACCCTACACAACACAATAGGGGCTTGTCTGCACAGAGGTCTGGCTGGCACAGCTGTAACAAAAGTGCGGTCCCACCTGGGCCTGCCAGGCTGATGCTCCATACCAAAATAAAAGTCATTTTAGTCTGGAATACTTGTTCCATCAGGTTTATCAATCTAAACAATGTGAATTTTCCAGGGATAGAGAGATGCTTGCAGCCAAGTCCTCCATGCTTGTGTGTCATGCCCTCTCTAGTTCCCCAGTGTCTGAGAGCAAGTCCACAAAAGCCCTGTGATCCATTTCAGACTCCTCTCAGCCACACATTTACATTTCCAACTGCATTTAGCAGTGCACGAGCCTTGCGTTGGTGACCCATGGAAGGGAGGAGAGCATTTGCATCGAGCCTTTGAGCCACTGACTCTCACCAGCAACGCACACCATCCATTTGGAGATAAATGAGATGTGGTCACACCTACCTTCTCCCTGTTGCTGTGTGCGGTGAGTGATCTGTGAGCAGCCCCCCGCAATGCTGTTCTGTAGTTATAGAAGTTACCAGTAGGGTCCATCTGGTGCTAGGTACACAAAAGAAGACACGTTGGTCAGAAAGTGACCTGGATCCTCTGAAGACAACTTTACCCTCAGTTGTAACAAACCCTGAACAGAGCCTAGCCTACATCTTCAAAAATCCACATACACGCAAAACCCCATGAACCACAGGTACAATGAGAGATCTACAGGTCACAGCTGTTTGTACCTTTGATTTTTCTCGTAGCAGCTTACTGAGCTTTTATGCGAAGAATAAGGACTGCCCATTTTATATATGCCAAATCCTGGTACCCTCAATACAAAAAAACAACCTTGGGCCTTGTTCACTCGACGTCCAAGGTATAGCTTGGGAGCTTTACACTCAGCATTGTGTCTGTGGCCAAACAAAACTGGCATTGGTGAAAGCACTATGGCTTGCATATAGGCTCATATTTTCGGTTTTTCTCCTCCTCCGATTTGAGTGCTGATTCCCCTCTACGTATCAGCAGCTTCACACCTTCCTCACTACACCTGGGAAACTTCAGCCAGAATCTGGCTCTCTGTCTGTGAAACATGCCTACAAACATCTCACACCTGGATAAAAATGTGAAAATTCACAAACAAAAAAAATCCAGAATATAATTTAAGCAACGTAGCAGCACCTTTTTTTTTTTTTTTTTTACCTCAAGAATGAAAAATTTGGCTGTTTTCACTTTTGACCAAGTCTTCTTTAGCCTGGAAACTGGACTCATGTTCATTCCAGCTATGAGTGAGAAAGAAGAAAAGACAGCCATGGATGAGAGTCAGGTTTCCCCTTTTCATCCGTGACAGCTGATGGAGAGACCTGGTTAGAAGCTGTACTTACAAATGATTGCCATCAGCGAATTAAAATTCCCTATGTTAAAGCACTCTCGGGCAACGTCAATGAAGAATTCGATGACTTGTGCTCGCTGTTTCTTTTTTGCAGGCTGTAAATTAAAATAAACAAATATCTGTGATAAGTGTATGCAGAATTGCAAGGCATCTTAGGTATTTGTTACATACATAGCAGGGGTCCATGCACAGCTTGGGTCATCTGCTGTCAGTCACTGGCCCTAATTCTGTTCTAGCAATCCAGTGGATGCTGGTGACTGGCAGTCTCTAAAATGAAAGCTTTCATTGCAGTGACAAAGAAGAAATTCACAGCAATTCCTAGGCTTGCCTCAGTTAATGTCTTAGTGCTGGAACAGGCAGCCCAAACAGCCCTGAAGCAGTGCCTCAGCTCCCTGCTGGCCTCCCTCAAAGTCAGTGGGCACATCAGCACAGACTTTCCCAAGGGCAGGATTTCACACCCACGTAACAGCAGCATCTTTGTCCCGAAAAGACTTTGTTTCACTGCATTAATCCCTTTCCCCTCTTCTGGCCCTTTCAACGATATGGCCAGGCCAAATGGTAGCTAACGTTTTAAATACACATTTAAATCTGACTGGAATCACCCCACCTTTTCCAAATATGATCTTCAAATGGTAATGCTTTTGAGTCATGGGCTATCTAGGCTGTTTATACCATTACTATTCCTCCCTTCCACGCCCTTTTCAAAGGAGAAAACATTAATTTCATTTTGATGGAGCCAAGTAAAACAAACTAAACCCACTACCAAGTCAAAAAACCACTAGTCACAGCTACAGTAATGGGCAGCAGGACAAAGAGCCATGCAATGAGAATTCACAAGCAGAACAGAGCTTTAGGATGACAGATAATAAATACTGCTCCACTAGAATTTTTTCCAGCAGAAATCTCACAGGATAATTCAAGGCATTTTTTCCTCTCTTTTTCCCTGCAGGGTTCATTATTCCACACTGTGCTCCTACTACATCACGAGAACAGTGTATCCCCCATGTCTTGCCAGCTCTGTTTTGCAATATGTTTGTCATTTATCAGGTCGCTTCTGCGAGTGCAGTATTACTAAAACTTACCATCAGATGCTTAGCCAGGTCATAAGAAATAAACCCCCAGGTTTGCTTATTAATGTATGATCTCAAACTGGCACTTCAGGCATGTGGTAAAACATGCCACATACTTTTCACCTACCATGCAAATTTCTGTTGCTACAAGATAGCAGAGTCTATTGAACCATTTCACATAGGCCTCAAGGTTACTCGTCTTCTTCTGTTCACTGAAACAAGTCTGGGGAGAAAAAAGCACAGAAAGACATATAACTGTGTTTCAGTTAGCTGCCCGATTGCTAAGATAAATACCACACAAAGGTAATTATTGGCCACATCTCTCTCATGCACACGGAAGACTGTACATCAAGGGCCCCTTTCAAAAAGTCAGTGGGTAGGTGGGTGGCTGGCAGATGCACAGGGTCTAGCTGAGTGTGTCACACTGCACAATCCACACTAGCGTACAGAAAACAGCCCCATTTTGCCTGCAGCAAGTGTTCACCAACACAGTCTGCACTGACCCTTGTTCCCTGGGATATTAACAGCCGGGGCATTGCAGGATTCAGATAGCAACAACGATATGCAGAAAAAGTAAGGCAAGCACAGTCTTCCACAGCACACTCAGTTTGTGCCTTTGATTCCAGGACTTCCTTCACTTTAGTAAATGCAATCACCCACAGCCCTTTTCTGGAGGGGGTAGACCATAATTTAGTGAAGTGAACAAGAGATAAGCAAGAGAAAACACAGTTTTAGTTGCCGCTTTATGGAAAAAAGTATTTCCCTTATTGAGTTTTCAGGATAATAGGCTCTGTAGCGACCAGCTCCGTCTTGATGGCTGCTCTTGAACAGGTCACTTACGTGCCAGAGATACTTCATTGATAAGAGCCATTACAAGAAGCACATTTTTCACTTTTTTGTATGAAACTTAACATAAATTCCCATAACCAATACAGGCTGTGGGAACAGATACTTGGCTGAACTCTTCCAATTCCTTTGACACCAACAGATAATTTGACTTCAGCAGAGTGATAGGACAGTTCACACAGCCTGAAGATGTTGCTTCGGATTATAAGAATTCAGGTCCTTTTCCCAGCCCTAAATTCTTAGACTGTCCATCTAGGACACACTGCTCTCTATTATAGAGTTCACTGATTTATTTGAACATCCATTAACATCCACTAGAGGGTATCAGAGAACACTGATTTTTTGTTTTAAGATGATCATTTCCCAGAGCTACCATAAATACATGCCACTAAGAAGAAAATCACAATGCATAAACACAGATCCATTAATGTCAATGGGATTACCCATCGTATGTAAGTTAAACAAGTGACTAAAACCCCTTAAGAAATGGGGCTTAACGTGGTTCCCAAGGTAATTCAAAGTAAGAAAATATTCACCTGTGATTCTGTATACACGCATGTTTAGAAACAGAAATCACAGTAGCATGCTATGGAGCAAATCTTAACAAGCCTGAAATTCCTAGCCACTTTATGAGTAGACCACATATACAATAAAAATATATATTTTAAAAGCATCTCAAAAATAAATGTCAGCAAGCAGCCTGTAAATATCAAACAAAACAAAGGAAACCCAAAGCAGCCCCAGTCTACCCATAGCAGTTGCTTTTCATGCGCTCTGTGGTATTTCTTGTTCTCTGTTGCAGCAAGAAGTACACAAAACCTAGGTTTTGTTCTGAATATGGAATTTCCATCTCAACACTGCTGTTCTGTGCCAGGGCACAAGAACCACAGCTAATACCACAAAACTTGTAAAAAATATGCAACAGTTAAAGTTGAAACAGACTGCTTTTTAAAGGTTAAGCTTTATAAATGGCAACAATATTTAGCACCTCCCTAGCATCTTCCATCTGCAACTCAAAGTGCTTGATAAACATTCATAAGTGAAGCCTTTTGAAGCCCTCATGCAAGAAAGATGTTTAATATGATCTCCAGCTGGAGGGAATTCAGACCAGAGCCAATTCCCTGTGGTTAACAGGGGTGGTCTCCATGGATTGGGGAACGATATGTCACTCCACGTAAGGTTTGCACTGCTATGTACAATGTTCTGCCAGGTCCCACACGATCCCTCGGCTATACCTTACCCTGGTGCGGAGGCTCTTCTAAATCATCACTGGGACCTCTGGTCAGCCCAGGGAAAGGGTGGAGAGAAGTTGCAGACTACCTCTACTTTCATTAGCCTTGCTAACTTGAAGCCCAATAATTTGTTAGTGCCATGTCTTGTGTGAAAATGTTACGGCAGTTTTGCTTTACTAAGTAGATCCTCCTGGGGGAGGTCATTGCCTTGTACTTAAAAGGCAACGCAGTGGTGCATCCTTGCTCTGAGCCTGTTATTTTCTCTGTTATTATGCACTTCACTGAAGTCACAGGACTGTTACAGGGCAGCACCTCAGTGTTCAGATTTGCATTTGAAGAACATGCATAACTGTCAAATAGCTTGTCATAGTCTGTCAAGACGATTTGCTTGGATTTCCCATCCCACCATTATTTTCAGGCTCTCCACCTCTCATTCTAATCCTTCCCGTCCACCTAAGCTGATGTTTCCTTACGTTTACCTTGTAACCTCAATTTCTCTTCACATCTTGGTGGTATTCTGTGCTGGCCCTGCATTTGAAATTCCAGATACAGCTACAGCCGTTGTGCGTACATTAGTTTATTACTGAACATTTCCTTCTTCCTCTTAGCACCCCTTCCCCTCTATGGCTTTATGCAATTTGATTTCACTCACTGCTGCCTCCCTCCCACTCTTCCAAAATTCACTCAAATTTAGCGCCCTCATTTGATCTCTTTCATTTTACTTTGCAGCAGATATGACGACTGTTCATTTTCAGTCTTGTCCCTCATGTTTGCAGCAGGTTGCTGAAACCTCACTGTGGCTGGTTTGGTATTTCATGTTTCTGACACATCTTTGCTACCTTGGGGTTCCTTCCTAAACACTGTGATCAATGATCAGAACGCTTGAAACACCATCTCTGCCCACTCCCCTCTCCTTGAAACCAACTGCAGAATTTCCATAACTCCAATAAGAGAAGGAAAGAGCCCAATGTTGCACTTTTTACTCATCCATCCACCCATCCATCCATCAATCTATCAATTTTTTCACCACTGCAGGCTATTCTGGTGCTCTTTGGGCAGCACTATAAACAGAGGTCTTCCTGTTATGTTCAGCATCCAGTGATGAAATTCTGCCATTGATGTATGATCTCAGTGGGAGCCCATATGCAGTTCTGGGGAAGAATTTTCCACCCTCTTTCTTTTCTGGCAGTGTGTGAAATCTCCGACTCTCCCTCTCCAGCCAGGAAGCCTCTTTCCTTATTGAGGCACTCACTGAAATGCTGCTTCAAATCCCACTGGAATCAGTGGAAAGACTCCAACTGGCTTCCACGGACTTTGGATGAAGCCCTGATCAGGCACTCCATTCCCTGCGGTGCTTTGGGTTAAAAGCTATTGTGTAGAGAGAGAAGAGTATGTTGATTCATGACGCACTGACTCATTACTGTGGTGTCTGGGCACACACTAGGGGCATTACCTCACGTCCAGAGTCTTTACGCTTTCAACGCTGGGAACAGACATTCCCTGGTTGTGTACAGCCGCAAGCCATCTGCCCTGGTCAAAGCAGGTTAGGAGGAGCAAGCCAGAAAGCAGAACATCAGGATGCTGGCCAGTCTCAGGCTAGGACATACTCTCACCAGGAAGGAATGGCAATGATCTGCCAGTGACAGGTCCCATCCTTGCCGTGAGAATACAGGTCATCAGTTGGTCTGGCCATGGTCAACATGTGCCCCAGGCCCTGCTCTTAGGGATGTCATCACATCAGTTCATCTAGAGCAAACAGTGATCGCAGGAGACGCTTTGCATGCAGACAAATCATACCTTGGTGCCATCCAGAGGGTCTTTATGTACAAATGCCTGCACAAACTCCTCAGGTCCAATGTGACTTAGCCTTTCCTATTAGAGGGGGGAAAAAAGAGAGAAAGGAAGAAATAAGAAAGCACCCCAGAATCTCTTCTGTTTCTCTTGGTAAGACATCCCCATTATCTGGTGTTACTGAACTGGTAGACAGCCAACTAGCACCAGACATTAAAATTCATAAGAACAATTAGAGTTATTTCAGCAGAAAGAAGAAAATGAGAATAAATACGTCTCATTACTGACAGGCCACAGTAAGAACCCTCTCCACTGCACAGAGAGAAAGGTGCTGGATGCACAAGGCTCTATCTGGGGGCCAGCAGACCTCAGTTCTGCGCTTGGCGCTGCCACAGACCTGCTGTGGTCCAGCATTACTCAACAGCCTTGTTTCCCAGCTGTTAAAATGGCAGTGATGCTACGATCTGGTAACCACAGCAATCCATTGCTCATCTGCACACACAGTGCTCTGACCCTGCCTCCCTACCCAGTGAAGCTCAGGTGATGCCCCAAGGTGGTGGCTCTGTGCCACTGGGGAAGGAAGGCACTGAAGATGCGCAGGCTTACATTAAAGGCATTGCTTACGCTGTAGAGTGTCCCAGGCATTACCCAAAACAAGAGTAAATACAGCATCCAGATCTCTCTTAGTAAAGAACAGTCCATCTCCACCAGCTCCTGAACAAACCTGGCAGTTCCAGCCACACCACTGGCCTTCTTATTAGGCTTTTCAATTCCCTTAAACATGTTTATTAGAAAAAAATATTTGTTGTAGGCCACAAAGGTATTTCAGAGGAGATATTTTGGAATTCCTACAGCCCAAACTTAGAACACTCAAGCAACAATAAAATTAACAGTACTTTTGCTTAAGTGAAAATTTTATGGCCACTCCTATGCTATTTCTCTTGGCTTCTCACCTTGCCACTGATAACTGTATAGGACTTTTACTAGCAAATAACTGTTATTTAATAAATAGCAAATAATTCTTACTGACAAATAAGCTTCAGACAGTTTCAGTGCAGAGTAGTTGGTGTACTGGATGCCGTAAGTGAAAGAGAAGGTAGGCAGCATTGATTACAGTAAAGTGGAATGAAAACCTCTAGCTGCATCAGTTTTAAAAGTGCAGCGGTGCCCCAGGTACAGGGAATCTCCCCTTGGAAGACAGCTGTAGTGTGGAGGAAAAGAAAAGCAAGAAAAAAAACTCCAGGCAAAAGGACTTCTACTCTCTGGCTGAAGTTATATAAAGCAAGGAGAGCCAAAGTTGCATGTTCTGAAAACTAACCAAGGTGAGAAGATGATCCTAAATTTGGGGTTTCTGAACTACTCCACTTCTTGACAAATAGAATAGCAACTACCTTCAGAATTCCCAAGGCTAATTCACTCCAATCCACAGTCCATTTCATGGTTTGTTTTTCCAGCCTTCCTCTCAAGGATGAACACTGTCTACAGGAGGACAGGCAGCAGGGAATCATTACAGCATCAAGAGATCTGCAGATGGCAGCAATGTTTTATGTTCTTCTGTGAACATCCAGGAGGTCTACATGGAGGACCTGAACCTGGGAGAAGGGTGTGCAACACAACAGTCTGTCCAACATCTTGGTACTGCATTGGAGCGATTAACCATCAAAACCCTGTTTAAGAATGAACTGCAGTCCAAGGAGGGAAACAGCAGGACTTTGTGTGGGTGGTATTTGCACACCCTCGTATGTCCACGCACAAAGTCCCAAAGGGAAGAATGAAAAACACATCAGACAACTCAGATGCTTTGTGTATCTGTAGGAACGGATTTGAACTGTTACAATTTCTTCCAAATTAATAAAAGGGCTATTGACCAGACATTTCAGTAGCACCTTCAGGTTGTGGGGCTCAAAGCACCTTACAGAAGTGGGAACCCCTTGACCTTCCTGTGACTATGACTCGCATTTCACAAATAAGCAAGCTGAAAAGGTAAAGTGACCCGCCCCCAAGATGCACAGGAACGCTCTGATATATAGCTTGCTTCCCAAGCATCTCTTGACCTGTCAAACCCTGCCTCCTGCTGCAGTGCTGATACAGCACGGGATGTGCTGCAGCAGTGCAGACATTTTTTGGTTGTGCCTGGAATACTTAGCAGCTGATGGCTTAAAATAATATCTCTGACTGCAGAAGTTGGGAACCATTCCCACTTACCAGCTCCACATGTGTCAGCTGCTGAGCCAGAGTGTAAGGGTCACTGCAGACGCTCAGGATTTCTCTCTGAATTGACGGAGGTTTACTTTTAAAGGCAACCAGCTTATCAGAAACAGCAGCACTGATCTTGACAATCCCTTCTTGCCCATGGCTGAGGGTTGCAAGCTTCTGATTCAGGGTTTGCAAAAGCTGATTCATCTTTTTCCAGTAGGCCTGGAGAGACAGGGAGAGAAAGAAACATAAACCACCCACAGACCTTGACAAAGGAGTGTTTTTATGCTGAATTTTCCCTTCTGCAAAATACTCCTAAGCCAGCAACAGGTTACCATTTTATTTTCAACAAGCCTATTTCAGAATAACCAGTTGGCTTAATTACAGTTCTGCGCTCTGGACCACAGAAACACTGCAGTCAAGAGAAGAGGCAGGCAGGACTGGTGGGTTGGGCTGGCACTGATAGTCACATATTCCTGCCAACATCAGGATCAGAGGAGAGGTAATGCTACAACATGAGTTATTGCAGCTTTCTGGAGCACAGCAGCATTCAGTACCTATCCTTTATGTCAGCTACATGTTGGCCGAGAACTCTACCTGTTAGTGGTGCCTAGTCAACTCCTATTTATTAGGAATAAGAAATGTTTCTAATGCTATTCTCTCCATCCTTTTGAGCTGAGAGCAGCAGAAGCATGCTGCTACTTGCTACCCAGTTGGAATGGTCTGAGCATCATGCAGCTTTGAGTATTTAATATCCAAAATGTTAACTGCAACTGAAGGAAGCTCATATCGTATTCCAAGCACAGCCATGTGCTCAGCAGGATGATCATTACTAAGTTGCTCAGGTTGTTCTTAGAGCTAGAGCAGCTCTTGACAGACAATGAGTGGAGCTGCTGGCCATGGAGGATCGGCAGAAAGAAATGCCTTCAACTCTTCATGACTGACAGATGCAGACATCATAAAACTGAGATAACAGAGAACTGGTGGATGGGCTCTAAAGACAAGGATTAATTGGAAATGTCCTTGGGCAAAAGCCTCACGTGGAGCACGGGGTGTACCCTGCTGAGGAACACGGCCTCGTCGGCTTTCCCAGACAGAAAAAGGAGCATCAGGCATGGGTTCAACGGGTGCTTGCTCAATTTCAAAGAGCATGGTCACTTGGGAAAACAGTTTGCGGGCTGGCCTACTGCCAGCTCCTCTTCCAGCACAAAGACACACAGTGGAGAGATCCTCTGGCTGCTCGCAAGCGGAATAACTCCTCACTCCCCATCCAAACAGAATTTAGTAACGTCAAGTTGCCAGTGACATCAGTTTGTTATCTGTCAGCGTGAAACCAGAGCTGGCACAAAGCCCTCTTCTGTTACATCTGTACTGCGCAGCCGATGTACACCCTGGCACCCTCCACACGGTCCTCATCATCACAACAGGGACTTGGCCGGAGTGTGCCTTCCCATGAAGACCAACACACACCTGTGTTGCATCCCAAGCTGGATGCAGCCCAAGTGAAGTCTTGGGAAGTACTCCTGAATCCCATGGTTTAGATACAGCCTTTGTCTTCTTCAGACTTTTGTAGACTGTGGATAGTCTTCAGTGTTAGGCGTTGACAGCACTCATGTTTTAGGTGTTCAAGGTACCAGAGTTAGTGCTCTTCTCACCTACGCAGGATCCCATCTGCACACTGGAAGTAGCATCTCCTACTACTTCACAGTGAAGAATAACATAGAATCATAGAATCATTAAGGTTGGAAGAGACCTCCAAGATCATTGAGTCCAACCGTCAACCCAACACCACCGTGCCCACTAAACCATGTCCCTAAGCGCCTCATCTAGCTGGCTTTTAAATACTTCCAGGGATGGTGACTCAACCACTTCCCTGGGCAGCCTGTTCCAATGTTTAACCACTCTTTCAGTAAAGAAATTTTTCCATGTTCACATGTTCACATCTACACTGTTTCCATTACAGTTTGAGGCTGGAAACCTTCAGAACATCCCAAGTACTTCAACTTTTGCTGCAACACTAACTTTCATACAGCTTTTCTAGCAGAAGGTTTCACATTGCTGAGGAACCTCTCATTTCACTCAAGGAAGTTGCTCTCTTGAGCTGGGCTGGAACATGGGCCAGACAAGCCCGATGTAGTCAGGCTTTCTTTCAAAATAAAGCTGATAAGTCCGAAATGAAGCAAGTACCTAGAAGGCAGGAGGGACTTGTCTTGGAGAATGGCCACACATGTTATATGTGGAAGCAAGTCACACAGGAGGAGTGAAAATCAAGCGAGGAAGATGTAAAAATAAATAATTTAAATAATTTTTAAAAAATTAAAAAACATTCTTTCAGTTTTTATCTGTTCCTGATGTATACTAGCTCCAAGGAAGAGAGACTACTGGCCTTCTTCATGTAAATCCTCATTCAAACAGATGGTCACAGCTTTGATTTACAAAGACTGTCCTGGACCCAAACTACTGCACATCATCTAAATATTTCTCTGCTTTACATCCAGGTGTGTTTGCAAATCTCAGCCCAGCTGATCAAGCTCTATTAATAGAATGTTATTTTTTAGTGGAAACTCAAATAGCAACATATTTGGTATTTTGTGAACATATTTTGTAAACAGGGGAATTAGTTTCAGGGTGGGGGGCAGGCACGGCACTGAAATCCAAGTCTTCTACAGAACATAAAACATTTGGCTAAAAAACTTAGCTGAAAACCCAGTTCTCTTTCAAAAAGGAGTTTGGATGAGTAATCTCGGACCAGCCATGTCTGTGCAGTATCAAATTCTTCGCTGTTTGGATGAAAAGCCAAAAAGCAGCATAAAATTGCTTGAAAGACATGCATATTAGCCAGTCTTTCAATAAATCCTTATAAAGAGATCTAGTTTCACCTCATTTTGTAGGGAATACGGCATAATAATATAGATATAGACAACAGTAAGAAAAGACTCAGGTAAGCCAACCACCTAATAAAAAATGAAACGAGACACCCTTAATGGACACAAAAAAGATTATTCAGAAATTAGAGCTCTTGAAGAGACTCACTGAAAATTGGTTGGGTGTACCCTTGCCTAGAAAGCTTTTCTGTGCGTGTTGGGGGAGGAATTAAAAAAAAATCCTGCTTTTGCCCTTTTAGAAGCATTTCCTGCCTTCTTTAAACTATGTTCACTAAGTGAAAACAACATTGTTCATTACCTTCAACATGCTGGTAATTATCTTACCACAAAGTGACCCCCCATTGTACAGGGGCTGCATGCTGGACTCTATCAACCGATTTCACTTCGTTGCCACATTAACAGTCAAAAGAAGCATACTACTGTTTAATATTTAAAGAAAATGTTTCGTTCTTAACTGGGAAAGTTGCTCTGAAGACGGCAGGCCTCAGCAGGTGGCTTAGGAGCTCAAATTTTAATTAAAATTTCTAACTCTAAATGCAAATCACAGCACTTACTAAGAAATGCTTCTCAGCATGGACACCTTTATAAGCACATCACAGAGCCTTTAGAAAGTGGACTCTACAAAGGACAGGAGCATACACTGCAGGGGAAAATCCTGCATTAACCTACATGGACTAGATGACCTCACAAATCTTTCAATCTTTAATTTCTATGATCCACAATGGGAACAACTTTCTTCCAAACAACTAATGGCACCACCACTCTTTCGTGCTGTCCCTTAAAAAAGGAAATTTGCGTTTGCAGGATATAAGCTGTTTCTTAAATTAATTATTGATTTTGCTCAGGCATAACCACTTGCAATTATAGTGCCTAGTAATATTTGAAAAGCACTGATTTGCCCCAAAGGGTACCCATAAGCGTCGGTACACAGCTATACCCACTCCGGAGCGAAGGTGTGCAGCACTTGCTCAGGTTAGGCAAATAAACTATTGCTTTGTATGGAAAAAGTTGATTTTTAGCATTTATGGCTCTTCACCAGGGCAGCTACTGCTTTTAAAGAGCACCCATAAAGCTCCTGTTCTCTGCCCTTCTGGCTGGTTCCTTCTTTCCAGTGGACATGATTTTGGTGGGTCTGTATGGGTTTCTCCCATTTCAGATGCTGAAGGGCTGCAAGGCACCTTTCTTGGTGGCTGGCAGGAGCAAGTTCATTGCCTCTTCCCCTTGAGGAGAAGTTTTACTGCTCTGGTCAATGGAATTGAAGCCACCTTGGCTCCTTCTGAAACGCTGAAGTTCCCTTCACCTCCATCAAAGTGTCACGCAGCTTCCCCTTCCCACCCCTTCTCTTCCACGGGCTGGCCAGCCCAGCCAGCCAAGCCATGTCAGCCTACAGCCACCCAAAAGTGCCAGCTGTGATGCCATCCCAGCCCAAGAGCAGCTGTTTCCATTTCTCTCGTGTTTCATGTGGGTAGGAGGGTCCAATTTCATTTCTGTTGTGCTGCAACCCTGCTAATTCCTTCTCTGTTCTCTCCACCCCTCTCTTTCTTGGACTCACAGGTATGCGCTTTTTGTTCTACTGAATTGCACCCATCTGTGGCCTGAAGCCAGGCCGTGATGTAGCCAATGGAACTGAATTCTTCCACATCCCATGGTTAACCTAGAAGTAATTAGAGACTCTCTATATACTATTTGCTCTTATCCTTATTATTTTAATGGATTTTGTGGTATTTTTAATGTTTCTGAATTATTTTATGGGTTCCACCCACCTGAATTTGCAAGCAGGTCTCCCAGAAACTCCATTCACTGTGTCCTGCTCTGCCACACACATGGCTCATGCATTTGAACGCCAAGACCATACAGCCATCTAGACTGAGTTTTGCCCAGCAGGCCACACACTGCTGTCTTCTACCACTTTCATGCTCCCAGAGAATGAAATGTCCATAAACATTTGTATTTTCTTTAAATGTAAGGACTGTCCCTTGGTATCTCACCACATCAGCCAAACAGGCTGGATTCAACAGGAGCTATCTCTTGGCCCACAGATACTGTGAACTTCGATGGGGATGCCGGTGGCATCAGTCAACCTGTGATCAGAATCTGCCGCTCTGTGCCTGCTCACCTCCTGTCTGGGTCCCTGCTTTACACTATCAGCCAGCTCAAGCATAGGGCCTGTGAACTCTTTTACACAGGACAGGAAGGTGTAAGCCAAACCCTTGTTAGATTCACTAATGAAAAAGGTGACAAAATGCAAAGATTCTTTCAAAAAAATTACCAGGCTGAAGACATGTAAAGTAAGGAATGGAAAATTAGATTTCGGCACAGGTGATCAAGGACGGAAGCAAATGGAGAAGGTGAGACAAAAAAAGGACCATAAACGCCCTGTGGTGGTTCCACTTTCACGACGACTCATTTTCTTAGAGAAAGGAAGCCTTCATCAGGTACCTTCAGGCAACTGATGATCTTTTTTAGCTCCCCAATGTAATCACTTGATGACTGGCTGCTTGCTCCGCTCCCCATTCACTAAACTAAACGTCCTGGAGCGCTCCCTGAGCCACTGCTTAGCCAGGATGGCTGCTCTCAGGTCACGATACTTCACTCCTCTGCTAGACTGTAACTTGGGAGATCACAGCTCTGTTGCTGTTTGAATTGTGACCACCACATTCAGTCTATGCTATTCCTCAGATCTTCCGCCTGTGAAATGGGAAAGTTATTCTCTTACAATTCGATGTGTAGTAGACAAATTCCACTGATCACTCCAATGTGTCCCCATGTCACTGCCACAGGGGTACCTAAACTGAGAGATGTGGCTTTCAGGGAAGCTACTACAGGTTTTAACCACTAGAGAACAAAGCTGTGAGAGTTCCCAGGAAGAGGCATGGAACAGAACGTGGCAAAAGGAGGAAAAGGAGGAACCAAGTGGGAAAATGAACTTAACATCTCCACACGACATCCCAGGTCAGACATCCTCACCTCATCACACGGGGCTATCCTGTGAATC